CGTTTGCTGCCGAGTTTCTTCTCTCCCTCCCTGTCATGCTGGACTGCTGGAGAGGTGAGGGCTGTTGTTGTTTTTTTGTCTGCAGGGAGCTGACTGTTCTAGTTGTCGTTTTGCTGATTGACTTCTGACCGGAGTGATTGTTTAGGAGGCCAGACTTGATGGTCAGATTTGTGGAAGAGATTGACTCAAATCCATCGTCATCAGGAAGAACATAGTTACTGCTCAACTGGAGGGAATTCATTTATCAATTCACTATTTCGTGTCAAACTGCACAATAATATTATTCGCTATCTAGTTATGCCCCTATAACTCAGTCTACGTTAGGTGGGTAGCTGTCATCATGCTATATAATTATATGCTATACGTAAATGGACTGATTGACCGCCAGTCTATTCACGCCACGTCCACCTTGGATAATGAATAAGTTAAATTTTGTCGAGGGCTCAGGTGGAGTCAAGATAGCTACCATTATATCCAGGAGTGGTTGATTGTTGTCAAGAGTATGATGTTACCATATGTCAGGCAGAGGAGGAGGTTCATAGTCATTGAGGAACTGGGCACATGCAGAGTGGCCACACTCCTGGGCCAGATCAGCAGCAGTGAGCCCATCCAGATCCTGTGCTGTGTGGTCTACCCCTGTGGACAGCAACACCTTTAGAGCCTGCGAGAGAAAGGAACGGAGAAGTGGGAATGACGTTGCCGTAAAGTTACGATTCGGGCACAGCAAAGATCGGACAAGCGCATCAATGGTAGGACAGTCTCCCAAAACGGGAACAGTATGAATGATCCAAGCGAGTGTATGCTCGATTGATAGCTGTACCTTTTGGCTATGCAGCGATCAACAAATGGCCCTTTTTTGTCTTCGCTCTTTTTGCTCACGAAAGCGCAAATAGGCGGGGTCGCGTAACTTATATTAGATGCCTGCACCACGATTTCCGTTTTTGTAAGATTTTGTTATTACCAATAATTATTTTTTGTAATTACCAATAAAAAGTTAGATCTCACAAAAACGGAAATCGTGGTGCAAGCATCTAGTATAAGGCAAGAAGAACGAGAATAAAAATTTAGAGCTTCATCCGGCACGTGCGTTAGAAGAAACAAGCCGCGAACTGCTTTTCGCGTAAAACGCGGCTTACGCGACACCGCCTATTTGCGCTTTCGTGAGCAAGACAAAAAAGGGCCATTTGCTGTGCCCGAATCGTAACTTTACGGCAACGTCATTCCCACGGTAAAGCTCGGATAAGAGCGAATATTTTTATACAACAGTTTATGACCAAGAACTACATATTGGTAAACACAGTAGCCAATCTAGTCTTGCACAGACTTCACAAATGCGTCCGAGAATATATGGCGTCCGATTATCGGTGGCTTACTCTAATTGGGCGAGCGGAGCGAACCCACCTAGTCGTTCGTTCTAGCGGAATTTTCTATCAGAGCGTCGGTAGACGCTCTATGTAGGGATGGCACGGGTCCAATCTCACGTGATCCGCGTACAAAACGCTTCAAAACTCGGCGAGAACGCCTAGCTATGCCTTGTGTCATCATATTCTTCATCTTCTTCTTCTTCTTCTTCTTTAAAAACCCGCCATCTCCTTTCTGAAACAAGGTGATGCGCCGAATTTTTCACTAAACGTGTCCGGTGATGGTGAAGATGTGCATCGTCGGTAAGCTTTCTTGCCGCCAAGCGCTACGAAAGATCAGTGGCGGACAACGCAGCAGACAGAAAACCACGCCATTTTCACTCAATGTTGTCGGGCCAGACTCTACCCACTTGCGCAAGCGCTTCAGCCCCTCGATATAAAACCTGTAACGTTGAACTCTCGAGAAATGGCCGTTGCTTATCAGTCAAAAACCGCGCATTCGAGAGGGCTAAAACGAGCGCTTTGACGTACCCGTTGTTGCTTATGAGTCAAAACTGCGCAGCAGGACTAAACTAAAGTGCTTAGCTATCGCAGCCGTCTCTCTTTACTAGCTAGATCTCTCCGCATTTTCACTAGGTGGTGTGCGGACCACTGATACTGACCTGAAAATCACGTTGTCACCCCAGATGATTATTTAGGTTTAGCGCACCGCCACAGGGCAAGCAGCGCCCCAAACGTTCACGCGCTGTTACTCTGTAACATCCGAAACAGAGAAGCATCCGAGTCGAGTAGCTACGTACGGCGCTAACCGCGCCCCTACCTGCGCATGCGCGAGTATTTATATTGACAACCCCCCAGTTATGCTGGATCCGCCTCTGGCCACTCGTGTACAACCATTGGTATTTGGTACACGTTACCCGCACTATAATAATAATAATAATAATTAATTGATATACACACCACCACAGGTGCAAAGACATACAACATTAAAAAAAAAGATGATGTGAGTAGGAGAGTGATAGGGAGATAGAGCAGACCAGTGGCCTTCTGACTCTATCCCTTCGCCAACCGAGGGCTTACGGGCTCCTGGACCGACCACCGGCCTGCTCTGCTCTGATAAAGAGTAATCATGAGGTTGAGATTTCATAAACAACAGATTCAAAGGGTGAATGAAAACCAAAATATTGACGAATAAACTGAATATTAACAGCAGACAATACATCTTGATCAGAATAGAATTTTACATGTTGATAACCATATATATTGTTGTAGCCTGTGAAGGTATAAGAAAGATAACAGGAGTCAGAATACACCGATACAACAAGGGGAGAAGATGAGGAGAGAGCAGATGTGCGAAATGACATGAAACGCTTGAGGAGGATGTTTCTGATGGCAGGAACCTGACCGAGGCAATGACAAACAGCTGTGTGAGAGTTGCGAGGCAACTTCCAGATCCGCCGTAGGTGATGGTTTAGTGCCACTAGAATTATATTTATATCAGGAGTGGAGAGAGACCAGAGAACGCAACCGTACAGGGATAAACAGAATGATTTTAAAAGGAACTTTTGACAGATGGATTGACACATTTAAACAACAAGGTTAACGGGAGAGCTATATGCTGCTTGGTAGGGGAAGGATGGCGCATGCGCACTGTACCACAGTAGGTTGCGCAATCCAAGCGCGAGATGGACCGGAGCGCCACGGTGGCGTAGCCAATCAGATTATTGGAAGGGCCTAGCAACGCCAAGGGACGAGTTTCAGCAGCAGTCAGTCGCAACAGCAAAGGTAACGCGGACACCTCCCTTCTTCTCCCACCCACCCACCCCAACAATTTTTTCCCCACTGTTCAAGAGAGGGAAGTGTGACAATGTTGACACCATGGCTGGAGTACTTGTCTAGACTCCAGCATGCCACCCAAGTTGCAGCATACACCAACAGGGCACCCGCATTCACTCCATCGCTCACCTTACGTCATCGCAATTTCATCAAAGCGTGGAGTGGGCTCTGCGACAGTGGAGCGGGCCGAGTGAGCTGACGGGTGTGAGGAGCCCTCTAAGCAGTACCTGGGTCAACATGCCTCCAACTATCAGTAAGTACTAAGAATTAAGCCGACTCAGCATTGTTGTACGAACTACGCGCAGGCGTGGGCTCACATGCGAACCTTCATTATAATTAACCCTCGGCGCGCATGCGCAGCGGGGGTTACGGTAGTCGTTCTGTCATTCTGTCTGTCCGCGCGAGTTATAGCACTACAGGCTACAAGGCGGCCAATGAGTGGCACCAACGGGTTGTAAACGACGAGAAGATTGATATTAATGTGGCGATTTTTCCTGAAACGACTGCGTTCCAGAGATATGGCGTGAAAACAAGCGAAAAAACCAACGTGCGGCATGCGCACGCGTCATGTAAATTTTTCGCCGGAGCATGCACTACGCCACATTGGTTGTATGATCCACAGGCTTCTCTTTGGATAAACATGCTGAGCAAGGTATATTCGCAATGTAGCATAATAGTTCAGGTGGCGAGCAATTTGTGGATGCAGCCCTGCCTTCCCGTCTATAAAACATCTGGCGAGAGCATTGGAGCACAGAAGAGCGGATAGATTGAATAAAGCAAATATGTGAGCCTGTGAAACACCTGAGCAATTGCTCTAACCAACTACCCTGTGTTACGGGGAGACTCGTGTTACTGGCTCCGTCGTCCATCAGCATACAGCGAGACTACAACTCGCGCGTTAAGCGCCGAGGGTTTGCACTTTAGTGCTTTTCATTATATACATTAACGCATGCGCAGAATAGCTTAAAAAATGTATTTATACTCAAAACGTCATCAATATACCAACAAAAAAACAACAAAAAAACTAACACAAAAAAACAGACATTACATATCAGAGGGAACATGTCCCTCTGCAGCAGCAAATTCAATGTTGAGCTCACTGACTGGGCGGTGGCGTGAGGATCTACTTCCTCAATGCAGATCGAGTATAGCGAATGATAGGCGGCAGCGAATCCAACCCATGACTAGAGAGTATTGCTTGTCCTGCTTCCGGGACAACTCATCAGCCAGTCTTTTGTAGAATGTTGTGGCTTCACGTGCCATACCACCAGTAGTCGAGAGGACAAGTGGTGTAAAAACCCCATGTTCAACTTCTCGAACCCTTTGGGCATATTCTGTCTTCTTTGTTGTTTCGTGTTTGCGATATGCTGCTGCGGTGGTCATCGAACGGTTGCTTGACGCGTTTGGGTGGAAAACCCTAACATCAAAAAATGCGTCTTGGCCAGTGTTCCAAAAACCACGAGCACGGATATCTAGGCGAGCGTTGGCATCAGTGTTCGCTGTGCGGTGAGGGAAAGATTCGTTGGTAAGCTGTTGGAGGAGTGGCTCGGTTGCAACATTATGGCAGATTTCTGTGAGTAGGTTGGCCTGTCATGTCACGAATCTCATTGTGGCGAATTGTTGGTATGCCGCCCATATGACAGATCATGGCATGATCTATTGAGAAGGGCTTGCCACAATAATTGTAAGAGCGAGGTATGTTGGTCAGATTCCACCCACTACTACACAGAGCAAAATAGCTAGTAATTTTTTTCGTTGTAAGTTGATTGATAGGCGCGGCCGAATACCCCAACGTAATTATAAACCGGAAATCAACGCATGCCATAAATTCCACTGGGGATCTCCCTGGGGTTTTCCATCCTCTTGCTCAGTTTCGGCACTCACAGTTTCCAGCACTCCGACAGAATGAAGTGGTTCCCAGCGTGTGTTCCGTCGGCCGCGGTAATTAGCGCGATCCTGGCTCTGACATCTACAACATTCACCGGTTAGTTGCCTCGCAGTAGTGTTTGGTCAGTGGTGACCGAGCAGTGTTTGCTGATGATCTGATATGAGAACCACTGCTTGCTTGCTTGCAGGGTGCCAAGCCGTATGTGATGCCTACGGGAGTCGTCCTGCTGCCGAAATAGGAAAGAATCTCACACTTCAGTGCACCGTCAGCTGCTTCAGTTTACAGTACAAGTGGATTTCAGTAACAGAAAGTGCCAACATCACCCTGGAGAATGAAACCAAAGATACACTGAATATATCCAGCAATGTTACTTCTGTGGGGGAGGTGGGAGGCAAGTTGTACGAGTGTCAGTGTGTGAGTGGAGGCTGTCTACTCTTCAGAATTGGAGGTATATATCACATTATAATCAGTTAGACCCTAACGTATGACCTTGGTAATGAGATTTATAGCAAATGCTGAGTCATTGTAAACAGTGGTATTGTGACAAGATAACAGGAATAGAAGATTGACTCCACAGTTCATCAGGGCACTCTGTTACTTTCATTGCAGTGATGCCTGTAGGTCATCTGTTTTTTTCAAACAACATAATCAAATCCGGGAGGCCAGTCAATGTAACCTGCGAAGCAGAGGGTTACCCATCCGATTTCAGTTTCAAAGTTACCCACGAAGACCACCAAATCCAGACCATCCACCTGCCAGGAGGAAAAGGAGTGTACTTTGTGATAGAATCAGCCTCCAAGAATGATTCTGGAAAGTATGCATGTTTCCCTGAGGCTACACTCCCGGAGTATCCTAATGATCCACTACAGGGGAATGCTGCCATTGTACAGCCTAACTGTCTATGGTGAGTTAAAGCAAACTGACTAGTAACTGACCGGAGCTGCTTTCTCTCAAATCCTAGTTGCTTCAACAAACAAGTTACACTATGAACCGGCATGCTTTGATCCTCTTCCAATATCTGTCCCCAGATCCACCATTCATTTCATATGTAATCAACGCACGGTTGTCTATAGCCCTGACAAAAAGCAGACTGCAGTCTTGGAGTGTGCTGTAGATAACAGAGAGGACTGGCTGAATGTCTCAATCAGTTGGACAGCAACCGGCGACATGGAGATCACAGCACCTCACACAGTAGTAGAGGCCAATAATGTGTCCTACTTGCTGTTCCATAAAATCTCCAACTGGAAAAACAACAGTCATTTCTACACTTGTAATGTTTACTCTGACTTTGGTCTGGAAGATGAAAGGGTCCTTCAAGTGATACTTTTAGGTAATAACGTAGCTACTCGACTGGTAACATGCTCACATCAAGTGGGTAGGTATTTTCTCTGATAGCTTTAGAATAATATTATGTATAAATTATAGCTGACTATAATTGTTGATCACATACTGTAAAACACCTTGCAAGAATAGCACGATCTCCTATAAATTCTGCCACAGAGCCTGCTTGTAGCAACTGTACCTGTCCAGACAAACCAACAACCACCACTGATCCTGGTAAGTCTGCTATCGAGAAACTCACCTTACATACATGAGTTCCTATTGTGCTGTAGATGATCCTGACTGTAACGGGAAAGATCTCCATTACAAGTTTTTGCTCATTCCAATAGCTATATTGGTGGTCTGTCTTTTTGTGTGGATTATTCTTACAGTTTTGTTTGGAAAATCGATTTCTGAGAAGTCCTTCAAGTTTTTTCATCTTATAAAGATACACATTTCTAGGCTACGTCAGTGATAATTTGTTTAATTCATAACTTTTTTCTCTATTGAAAGCCTGTCAACATTCTCTAAAATCAGTCATTATGTATAGGTTTGATCATGGCAAGTAGCTATGCTCTATGAGCGCGCATTAAATATAATTTTATATTATACTGTGTGTTATAATAATATTACTCATTTCACAAGTTTTTGTACTACCAAGACCAAAATTTACCTCCATTCCTACATCTTTGTCATAAAACACTGAAGTGCAAACCCTCGGCGGATTGTGACGCGCACGCGTAAAAGTAAATACATGCGCCGTACCACTAATCGATGGGCTGGGTTTGGTTTAGCTGTTACTCGTGGTCTCTTGCCAGTTCGCGCAGAGTCTGATGCGGGCTAACTACACTACTAGATAGCATGCGAGAGGCGATACACGCCCTGCGTTGCACCTTCTGGTGCCTCCGAGGTACGCAGAGCACGCGGATCGATCGGACCGTAGTAAGCCTTCCCGGCTGTTGTGTGTTTGCGTATTGGCTTTTTTCTCTCGGGGGGGTCGCTCACGGCAGTCTCGAAGCACCCCTTCGTGGGCACGGCGCCTGCTTAGGAGGTACCAGCGGCTCTCTGCATTGCCCGTAGGTGGTATCCTTCGTGAGAGACGAACGAACACGGATGGAGAGCACGCGCGCACACACACGTACACAAACAGTAATCCTCGTTGCGCATGCGCGCCGAGGGTTAATTATTACACTATGGACATGTGATTAGGGCTGAGGAAATTATGCTCAAATATTTGAATTTTATTCTACTCCTGGATTCTTCGATTATGGGCAATTTATGCTCTTATTTTTACCAAATTATGCTTGAAATTTTGAACACAGTATATCAGTTAATGTCCTTTAACTGCAGCATAAGTGACGTATGTCAGTAGAGCGCGCGCAAGATCGAGCGGCCTCAATCGCACATTGGCGCGACTAGCGAGGCAAAATATGCCCGTGCGCATTCCTAGTATAGAAATTATTCCTGCAATATTCTCGGATTCGAGCAGCCCCAAAAAATTCCCAAATTATGCCCGGCATAATTTCCGCACCCTAAATGTGATGTATCACTAGTGGTAGCCTACTAGAGTAAAAAGTGAGCCAACATAATGTTTTCTTCACTTTCGTATCTGGTAATATAAGAGCAGTGCAGTGCGGTGGGCGGCCTACTCCATCTCCCAGGCTCATTACTTACGCTTCCTGTGTTTTCCCTCGCCGGGGGAAGGTGGGTGCCCGCGTGGACCACATGCTCCCTACCCGGAGCTGGCCGATATCGTGCTGGTGCTCCCGGGTTTCAGCTCAGTGCTGAAACGAATTGTCGAGAGGCAATACGCGTCCGGGACATATGGGCCTGGGAGTTGCTGCCCGAACGTGGCTGATCGAGACCGAGTCTACTTGCTGCCACTCCTAGGTGCGCCCTCGTGACCGATATAACCGTTTGAACCGAATGCTATGCCACGTTGGCAGTGGTGCTGTCGGCTGCATATCCATATCCCGACAAGGCGCCCCAGCTGTTCGTCGGACGATCACAGAAGGCCAGCAGACCTTTGATAGCGCAGCGTGGGCATCGTAGGACATGGCATTCCAGGCGTCAGGCAGCCAACCGAGGCTCCCTCAACTGGGGGACGGTGGACGCAGCGTTGTACAATGAGGCCTTCGCTGGTAGAGAGAAACACATCCCTCATTGCCGTTACTGCCTGGGGGACACGCCTGCTTCGCCGGACTGCCCCAATGCACCCACCACCAGCACAGACAGCGGCCCAGTCTTTCCCATGGACATGTGAAGTTTTTGATGTATATTATAATTATCACGGTAGTTTTTGCCTACATAGAGTAACAAACGTCTATCTTATAATGACTTCATTCCTTATCAGGTAAGGGTAGCGCAGCTGTCTGGGCTTCCCTCTTGACAACAAAAGCAAACCTCTGTGCAGGACTGCAGGAAACCGATAGCTAGCTAGTCGATATTTTATATGGCAACACTATTAGTTGTTGCCAGGGCTTTGACCACATGGGCTATGTTAGTTGCAATCTTAAACTCTTGGGCCGCAACAGCTAATACATAACGGGCCTTGGGCAAGTGTGTTTCATTAAACCCTTTGGGCGCCATAAATGTCTCCTTAAATAAGCAGAAATTGATGTATAACATATTAGCGCCTAGTATTATAGCCATATATAAATTCTTATGCGGCTCTGTGCATATTATGTAAATGGCGCCAAAAGGGTTTAAGACATTATAATAGTAGTTCTCGGCTTATTTTGAGGTATTTTATGTACGAGAATCATGTAAGATCTGACTGATCACTACACAGAGTATATACTAACATTCTGATGTATATTATAATAATAATGGAGGTGTAGAAGTATACATCAATTAGGATTTCTTTTCTAGTAAGAGTCTCTTTTTCCACTCTGGAAGGGCATCAAAAATGTCCTGCTTCTCCTTCTCTTTCTGCTTCACCTCAACCATCGTCTTGTTCTCCTGCTCCCTGTCCGATTGAAACAATAAGCCATCCTGTATTTTAGCGTGTAGAGTAAGATTAAGCTACAGTGTGGCTGAAAAACTTTCATGTCAACAACAAAGGTCAAACCAAAACAAAGGCAAAAATCACCCAGGACAACTCTTTTTTTTTCATCACTTGCAGTTTGTGAATCATATATCTGAAAGTTTTCGCTGTGAAATAATGTGGCCAGCATAACAGCAGAGGCTATATAGCTAAAATGAGAAAGACCGATTTGTGAAGTTTAAGTTTACCGTATATAGTTGCCTATAATTAGCTTACTTTTGAGCTCCTCTTTTCTCAAAAACAGCTCTTTTCCATGATGGCACGTCTTTCCATTTCTCTTTCTCTGCCTCTGCCTAATAATTATATGCAATTTTAATGTTATCATTGCATCACTCTCTCTGCCTAATGCAGTGGAACCTCCAATAAGGAGCCTCTGAGATAGGGACTTGCTTCAACCCCATGCTAATACTTATGTGCCATCTGAGATATGGACGACCTCTCTACAAAGGACACTTGCTTCAACCCCATGCTAATACTTTAGTGTATTATTTGTCGACCTCCGAGATAAGGACGACCTCTCTATATACAAGGGACAAAATTGTTGGCCCCATGCCCACTGTAGAATGCCTTCATTGGAACTACAACTACGCTCTCTCTGCCACTATGTATACTGTCACCTTTCTTGCAAGTTCGTCATCTTTCTTCTTCTGCTCTGCAGCTCTCTTCCTCATTAGAGCCTTCTTCCAAAGTGGCGTCCCATCATCCATCTCCTCTTCCACCTCCTCCTCTGCCTTTGTCCCTGTGATTATTAAAGCTAATGAAAGTGTGGATCATAGATTACCATGTGTGTCTCACTGTCTTCTTGCGGTTGTCGCTGGAATTGGCCAGTCTTTGTTTTGGCTCCTGAGTCTGTCTCCTCCACCACATGTCCCAGTTTTATCTATAATTATGTATCAGCAAAGAAAGAGTATATAGTGCTGTCTATATCTTTGATTGCACAGTGTTGTTAGTTGTGCAGGGCCCAAAAAAGGAAAGAGAGCAGATGTTTTGTTTGTTGAAAAGTCTGAAGGCTTGAGGGATAATTGCATTCGAGACAATGTTAATGAAGGACACAATGTCGCAGTTAGACAAAACAGCTGCCCTGGGCCTGGGTGCCCTATCGTTTGCTCATAATTTTCAAGTCAAAGTATCAAGGGATTGTCAATACATGCAGGTAGCTAATGATGGAAAAATTACTAGCAATTACAACTCACTGGATTGAGATTTTTTCTGCGCTGAGGTACAGATTTGAGACCTTCAGACTCAAATGTGCGAACCTCCGTCATCAACTCCGGGTCTTGGATTGGCAAATCTGCAGTGTGGACCATCTGTTCAGTTTGTGTAGCTACAAATTCAACGAATGTGAGACTTCAATTTCTTGCGTGTGTATTTAGAATCACAAAGAACGTTATGGTATGTGCAGTGCTTGTCACAGAAACATCCCGCATTCAGACCACTTAGGTAGGGCTGTTTCGCTCAACAATAATACATACGAACTTAAGTACTGTAGTGTACCGTATGTAAAATAATAGCTTGCTATCTTTGACGAGGTATATAATAGCTGCATTCTGTTTATGCAACAGACATAAAGAAGTCAGTGAGACTAATGCTCACTTTTCAAAGCTGATGTGGAGTCCTCTCCATCAGGGTCAGTGTCAATGTTTATCTTCCTTCCTCCTGTCCTCCTTGGCTGGCCGAGCCTCCTCTGCCTCCTCCTCCTCCAGGTGCTCTCGCAACTTCTGCGCCACCGATTTACTCTGCAGCTTAGCAAACACGTTTTTGAGTTCGTTTCCGTCGCTTTTGCTATTCCTGGCGAGCATTTGCTGCTGTTCCGTGTAGCTCTGTCCACCGGTGTTTCCCCTTTCCTGTCGTTTGCTGCCCGAGTTTCTTCTCTCCCTCCCTGTCATGCTGGACTGCTGGAGAGGTGAGGGCTGTTGTTGCTTTTTTGTCTGCAGGGAGCTGACTGTTCTAGTCGTCGTTTTGCTGATTGACTTCTGAGCGGAGTGATTGTTTAGGAGGCCAGACTTGATGGTCAGATTTGTGGAAGAGATTGACTCAAATCCATCGTCATCAGGAAGTACATAGTTACTGTTCAACTGGAGGGAATTCATTATCAATTCACTATTCATGCACAATAATATTATTGGCTATCAGTTAGCTATGCACCTATAACTCAGTCTACATTAGCTGTCATGATGCTATATAGATTTCATCATGCTATACGTAAATGGACTGATTGACTGCCAGTCAATTCACGTCACGTCCACCTTGGATAATAATTTTTCGAGGGCTCGGGTGGAGTCAAGATAGCTACCATTATATGGAGTGGTTGAATGTTGTCAAGAGTATGTATGTTACCATTATGTCAGGCAGGGGAGGAGGTTCATAGTCATTGAGGAACTGGGCACATGCAGAGTGGCCACACTCCTGGGCCAGATCAGCAGCAGTGAGCCCATCCAGATCCTGTGTCGTGTGGTCTACCCCTGTGGACAGCAACACCTTTAGAGCCTGCGAGAGAGAGAGGAACGGAGAAGAAACACGAAATGAGAGAGTTATGGAGAAAGGAGAGGAGGAGCGGGGGTATAGGGATGGAAGGAGGGAAGAAGAGAAAGAGAAGGGTGAAGGAGGCAGGCAGTTGAGGGAGGAGAGAGAAGTCTAAAAAACATGGGGGGAGTCATAAAACAATGGAGGCTGGAGGAAGGGAGGGGAGAAGTGTACATAGGAAGGGAGTGTGGCCAGGGGTAAGGAAAGTTATAGCTGTGTATAGCTATATACATGATGGCTACAGCAAAACAACTAGGAATGAAGAGAGTTCGAGAAGTCCTGGACAGCATAATTAGGGCATAATATTAGAGCTTACCCCCAATTGGCCATGCTCTGCAGCATCGTGAAGCGGAGTTCCTCCAAGATCATCCTTTTCCACCTTAGCTCCATGCTTGAGGAGCCACTCTATGACCTCTATGTGACCTGGATTGAAACTGAGTCGCTAAGTGTTGGGTGTAGCCTATTGGCTGGTGTATACCTCTGGCAGCAGCAAAATGAAGTGGTGTGGCTCCATCGTTATCCCTCTCCATTGGAGAAACCCTGACATTTTTCACCTGTAATGAGCAATAGTAGATGTATATAGTTGTCTGGATGAATTCATGGATCAAGCACTTATTCATCAACTGTTGAGCAGTCCCATTCAATACAAAAGAGAAGTCGATTGTTATTGGCAAAAACAAAGCAAGCATATCTAATCATCTCAATGCGTAATTTATTTATATGTGACAGGGCACTGCACATTCGATTCTAAATACAAGTGTGAACTGAAATGCTCGCGTTAAATGTGATGCATTTCATTCTATAGCTAGTTTTTAGGGGTGGTGAATTACGTAAATCTACAGTGGGTAAATTTAAGCCAGCTAGCTACATTACCAGCCATTGCAGACATTCGAGTTGTCCCATTTGGGCAGCTGCATGGATCGGAGCCATCCCGTCACTTGCTCTCAGGCGGTGGTTACCTTCAACCTGCAGACAAAATGAACTAGTTGCTAACAACGCCTGTGTTAGCAGCTATATCTAGTTAGCTATAACGTCATTGAATAGTTGAAGTTGTGGGATATCGTGTCGGTTGCTTTGCCTTGCCTTTCTACGTTGCTACCTACAGTAGTTGTTGACACATGTACTATATGGCCACTTGCCTGTGCAATGAGAAACTTCAGGCATTCCAGTCGTCCTTCCTGTGCTGCAAAGTACACTGGAGTTGTCCCATTGTCTGCACGTTTGTTCACAGACCTGTGAAAACAATACACCACCAGTGCGAGGTGGGCTCGCTCAGCTCTCCCAATAAGGACACCTTTGCTTTACCTAAGAACTATTTGCTAGTATGCACACTTTAACATGGTGGGTAACTTTTTGTATTCCACTGCCTTTCCATTGTATAGTGTAACCCCTAGCCCTGCCCCCTCCTCGTATTCTATTGTCTATCAGAAAGAACAAACCTTTTCTTGCAACTACACTGATAATTCTCAGACCGATTGAATTGGGTTTTTAGAGCCACTAGAACTATGATAGAGATTAGGTTTTGCCTATATATTCTGGCAACTCAACTCAGTGCATGCACTGAAAGTGAAGTAAAATAGAGCATACGAGAGATTATTCTGAGTGAGCCAGCGGAGACAGTTGATGCTGCCCTTGGCTGCGGCAAGGTGGACAGGAGTGACTCCATTCTGGGCCTTATCTGTGGCAGAGCACCCCTCAGTCTCCACCAGCCATACCACCACTGGCAGGTGGCCAAACCTTGAGGCTACAGGGAAGAGGAGGCGATTGAGGGAGAAATAATTATTGTAGGGTCTCATTTTCCGTCAGGTTCGCAAGGTTTGCTATCCATAGCTATTATATCCATTAGCTATCTGTATGTTACTGGATATATAACCTTGTAGCATGCTGTATGTCTAAAGTTTTCCTGTCAATATTATGCATGCAGGCTTGCAATGTGCCCCACCCACTTTACCCAGATGTAAGGGCGTGGCACCGCAGACGTCGCGGCCCGTTGCCTCGCAGCCTCCAGTCTGCACAAGCCACTGGAGGCAGTCCAGCTGACCCGTGGCCGCGGCGTCGTGCGCGGGGGTCGCTCCGTTGTTGGCCGCTCTGTTCCCGCTGAGACCCGCAGTCTGCACCATCCATCTGATGCAGTCAACCTTCCCCGCACGAGCGGCGTAGTGGACCGGCGTGGCCCCGAACTTGTCTGTGGTCTTGTTGAGATCTATTTGGTCTCGCAGAGCCTTTAGCGTGGCCAGGTCGCCCTTTGCCGCCGCACTGAGCGCTTTGTTGGTCAGAGCCCCAGACATTACGAACTCCCTCGATTTTTTCCCTGCAGAAACATGGGTGGGGCTGCTCGGCGACGCATGACATCATAATATGCGCATGCGCGTTCTTGGATTTCCCGCCACGCAAAAAAATCATAGCGCATGCGCTAAAACTCACTGCCTTCATCATCCACCCAAATAATTCTTTTACAAACAGACAGAGATGTTACAACAGACCATATCTCTTCACTCTATACATGTGTAGTGGTGTATATATTCACAGCACGAGCTATGGGGATGTGTGGACGGTATACAGTCCATATTGTAGGTTGTGGTGGGGGAGCTAAGGATGACAGTGTAGAGATGGACTTACAGAGTAGCAGTAGATGTAGGTACACACTCTCTCCACATTGATGATGGCAACATCAGGTGGTTAACACACACACACTGTGGGTCACTCGGCACAGACATGTTAGTATGGTACAACGGTATAAGGGTCTATATCTGTTAGAGAGTCTAGGTTTATGGGTGGATGGTTGGGAGCGGGTGATGTCGCTCAGGAGGCCTCAGCCTCGGTTTGCTGGGCTGCAGGGGCAGCCGCAGCCGGGGCAGGCTGGGAGGGAGGAGACTCAGTCACCTCCTCAGTGTGGCCTTCACCTCCACTACCACTCTGGTGGGCCTGTAGGGAGGGAGGGAGGGAGTGGGGTAAGGAGAAGGAAGACTGCATGTGTTGTGGGTATTAAACATGCAAGAGTGGCTCTTCTTTTACACATTTTGCCAGCTTACATTCTCATCTTGCTGCTGCATACGACGTGGTGGTCCTCCCCTGTAACGACGCCTGCCGCCCCTCTGTGGATGAGTACAATAATTGTAGCGAAGTGAAATACAATAATATACTACAGCTGAACACACATCGTGCATGTGTAAACCAGCAAGTGAAACAAATCTGGCATTACTTTCATGCTACACTAGTTATGGCCAACGTTCAACAAAAGTCAGCAATTGCCTGTGCTCAAAATGCCCTCCACTGACTTCTAAACACGCACAAAGATCAAGAATAGCAGCAGCACAAGGCAGTGTGTATGGGGCTATGTACAGTAGCAGGTACATAGTACTAACAGGAGGGCCTCGAGATGAAGTCTGCTGTCCATCTCCCTGCTCCTCGTCCTGAGGCCTCCTGCGGTACACCCTGGTCCTGAACCTCCCTCCCCTCCCTCCTCCCCTCCCTCCACCCCTCCCCTCCTCACGGGGCTCCACTCCATTCTGAGTCTCTTCACCAGGTCCACCCTCACCAACCTCACCCTCTCCCTGTGGTATGCGGTTGAAGTGGAGTGGAGGTAGAAATTTGATTGCTCAGTGCATTAGCACAAGACAAAATAGTATCTTGCCATGGGGGCTGTTGGTATATGCAAAGTATGCGCTGTATGAATGCAAGTATGGACCATTCAGAATAACTGTGACCCAATCGCTTAGCAGAAAAACGTGCGTGATGAATAGTACATGTACCTCAGACTTCCTGGGAGGGCCCCTGCGATTAAACCTTCGTCCGCTGTTGCCTCCTCTGCGACGAGGCTGGCGAGGTCTACGTCGGTCTACCTGCTCCCCATCTCCCTCTCCTAGTCACACAGGTATAGAGAGAGGAGAGAGGGAGTGTGTGTGTGTGGTAAAGCAAGCAAAGGTAATGCAAAGCAAACAACTATCAACTACATCAAATAAGTCAACTAAAGAAGAGCTGCCCTAAGTGAAATTCGAACCCACAACACTCTGCTGTCTAGGCAAGTGGTCCACCAACTGAGCTACCAGGGCAAATCAGCTGGTAGGGGTTGGAATCTTCCAACACAACACAAAACCACTGTGATGTGGCACAGCAAGTACAGTATGTATGGGGGGGAGGTAGTAGGGATAAAAGTACTGCACTCTGTATGCACAGTACAGTACCTTCGTTGCCCTCGCTGCGGTCTTCTCCCTGGCTGTCCTGTTGTTGGGTCTGTTGTCGTGGTCTCCTCGGGGGGCCGCGGCGGTAGTAGCCACGCCCACCACCTCCTGGCCGGCGATCAGCTGCAACAGGCAGACGCTGATTCTCTTTTCTTCTCGAGATACCAGTTTTTTCTCTGCCTACGCGTCTTTGTGTTTAGAAGTTCCGCGTTGTTATCTGCCAACTGGTTTCTTTACTCGGTTGCAACGAACCCAGTTTTCCCCCCCCCCCGCCTATTCCT